CAGATGCATAACCAAGATATCTTGACACACTGGTAGGTATAGTGCACAAATATGAGAACTGTATTTATTAAAATGAGAAATATTTTTAAAATACAGCTTGTGAGTTACTGCAATGATAAACATAGATCAAAATACAGAAACCAAGGCTAAAATAAAATCTCATTAAAAAGAAGAATACTAAATATATACAATATTATTTCTATATTGGTAAGTAGGTACCAACTACCCTTTCAATGCCTAATACTGGGAACAATAGATGGCAAAAGAAGAAGGGACAGCTAGAGGATGAGGTGGCTAGATGGAGTCACTGAAGCAGTTGGTGTGAGATTAAGTGGACTACAGTGGATGGTGGAGGACAGGAAGGCCTGGAGGAATGTTGTCCATGGGGTCGCAATGGGTTGGACACGGCTTCGCGACTAACAACAACAACAACCCTTTCATTATTGCTAGGCCAGGAATGAGGGAATATGGACCTGCAAGACATTATTTTCAATTTGAGAAGGTAATATCAGCTAAATAAATGACAGGTTTATGAGGAAATGATTATGCATTGTTAATGGAATTCAACCAACCATGTAGTTTATAACAATAAAAATTGGGAAGCTACTTAAATCAAGAGATTTCAGCAGAGTTCTGGAAATAGGTCTGAATTAACATTCTCTCATAACCTCTATATTTAAAGCTAAAAGAGAGTTTCTATAAACTCAGCTTTTTATGATACCTGACAGACAAACAACTGAGTTAAGTGCTATATTCAGGTGTGGATAATACATGCTGGAGATACAAAGCAGATATATCACATATGTTTTGGTATTATCCAAATATCAAGATCTTTTGGGAAAGGATATTGGAAAAAAAGATGAACCATCTCTTTGGATATGTGAAGAATGACATGCCTCAAGACAATTGGAAAATGGTCATTAAGTTGTTAACAGCTACTCTAGAGTTGCAGTGAGTTATAAATTGAAGCAGAAAGCAGTCTTGTCAATAAGAAAATGAATGGTAAGTTTCAAGGAGCTCATATGTAAATCCCTAGATGGGCTTTATTAAGTATATCGAGAGAAATGGGCAAAATCTAACATCCAGGGCATTGCCTATTTCTTCCATGCTGTTAGATAGCTTTAGTACATTTTGTGATTTTTCAGTATGATGGGAAACCTACATTTATTCAAATTATGCTGTGATGGATAAAAATACATTCCTGGCCTTTGATGAAGTGACATGGAAGAGTTTGCAACTGAAAAATATATGATGTACATATTCCAAAGACATTATTACATTAGTAATGTTGTTACAATGTGTTCATTTAAACATTTTAAATTATATAGAAGAATATTATCATATATTTATGCTAATGTGATTACATTAGTTCCCTGTGAAGATAGCTTTAAGAAGCAAAGAAAAATCTTCCTAATTCAATCTTCAGCAAAAATGGAATTATGTTAAAATCACAATAAAATATCTTCTAAAGCTATTTAAGAAAATAAAGAAAATGAAAGCACAAGCCACAGAGGCACCTTGAGATTTTCCTCCATTCCAGCCCCTTTAAAAGGTGAGGAGGAAAGAGAAGAGGCAGATATCTGTCTATAGTAAGCATCATGTCTTAAGGGAGAATAACTTCCCTGATAGATTATTTATTTATTTATTTATTTATTTATTTATTTATTTATTTATTTATTTAAAACATTTCTATTTACCCTGTGTGAACTATGGTGGGGAAGGTGGGAGAATTCAGGGGCTACAGGAGTATGCATGCCAGATGGGAAGCCTACATTGGAGAACTGGGATGCACACATAACAGTATGATCATTGCTAGTTCCTTCTTATTTGCCTGTTTATCTTTTCACATCACAGCCCTAGGAAACTGTGAAACATTCCTAGCTCTTTGGTTTGAATTTACCAAGAAAGAAATATATTTAGGATCAGGTTGCTAGGCAATTTTCTGTGAGCTTACAGTTCTGTAGTTCCCCACTACAATAGGGAAAAGATTGGGAGATCAAGTGAAATGATTGTTTTGGTGTTAGACATTATTTGAAAGGAATTTTTTTCTGGAGGCAGTGGGGCTTTAAGCTCAGTGACCTCATTCACACTATTTTCAAAAGATGAAAATAATAATGGTGAATCTTTTCAGCTTCATCTCTGTGTGTTAAATAGATCATTATTGTAAACTGTATGTATATTAATAGTAGCCTTTCTCAAATTTTCCATGTTAAAAAGCCTGATTAAAAAAATCAGTGTTGTTGAAAAATCTTGAAGGTCTTGTGTGGATTTGCCATCCCCTTTCTTCAGATAGCTAATGCCCTCTTGTGGGGAATACTTACTATAATACCAGCTATCCAAGACGCAACCAATTGTAGTTCATTTCAAGCACAAAGCTGTTTTTCATTTCCCCACATGCCCATTGTGTACCCAAATTATACGTTAGTTGTGCGATTTGTGTTTGGCCTATTTTCCCCACCACAAACTGCTCTATAAATCTGAAAGTGAGCAAAAGTATATCTGACCTAGATTTTTAGCCAACATCTCAGCATTATTTCTTTAACTATCTATACCCCAACCCTTAAAGGCAGATGTTTTATCCTTACTGCATCATCTACTGTGCTTTGTCCAACCTGCTGCCTTCCAGACGTTGTGGACTGCAGTTCTCATTAGTGCCAGCCACCCTGGCCAATGGTCAGGGTTTCATTTTATTATTATTTCTACTACTACTACATTGCAGTTATTCTCCAACTTTCTTCTCTTGCAAAGAACCCAACTAAGAAGTGTGTCTGTGTGTGGGGGTGTGTGTGTGTGTGCAATTGGTAGAGAACTGAAGTGTGGGGAACCCACCACTATAAACATAGAGTAAGTAATAAAAAAGAAAAATAGACTTTTTGTGTTCAAAGGGGCTTGAGACGTTCCTTCCTGTTGAAAATGCCTGGCAGTCATTTTCTCAAGATCATTCTGGAAATGTCCAAAGACCCAAACTATCTTCATAATGCAGCAAGATGAGGCAGCATACAACATTGCAATACAAAGAGAGATCTGCAAAGGAAATACTAACATCAGTGGACAGTACTTTACATTTGTTTTGGGGCTTGTTTGGAACTACTTTTATTTATCTAGTACTATGTGTGATGGTACTCAAACACAGTGTCATGTAAGAAACTGATAAAAGTTATTTGCCTTTGAACAGCTCTCTTCACTGTGTGTCCTAGAAACTCTATTCCAATCTTTGGTTTAGACAGAGTAAACAAAAAGTGGCTTAGGAAGAGACAAGAGTGGTTCTGCTGGCTTGGGAGTCAGGAATTTCATGTACAACTCTATTCATGCACCTGCACAAATGTGTACACACAAACACACCAACAATCCCAATAAGGGGAGATGATGCTTCCCTTGCAACCTAAAGCAGGAAAATGATCAACTGTATGAAGGATGTTGGAGGAGGGAGTTGATATCTTTCCAGGGGAAAAAGACTGCTCTGTATCAGGTGCAGTGAGAGAGGGCATTCAGCAGTAAGGTAGTGAGGACAACTGTGGGGGCCACAATAATAGCCATTGAGTCTTGAAGTTGTAAACCCCTGCCCTGGAACATCTGGAGGCTATTTCTGTTAAAAAACAAAACAAAAAAACAAGATGCTATTATAATACCAGTCCATACTATAATTCATCCCTTACTGTCAGTCTTTTCTTACCATGAATGAATTTCATTATGAATAAGTCATCATGGACTAGTTAGGTGGCAAATGTGCTAAACTTCAAATAGAAACTAAGATAAAAAAATTAAAAATATGAAACTCAGTTTTTAAAAAATAAAAATATGAAAGCAAGAAATGTGTGCTAGTTTTCTGGCAACAATCTCCCTGGGACAAACACACACTTGTTGAGTAGCATACGTAAGAATGTGAACTGTAGCTCAGCAACCCTGAGCAGAGAATAGAATGTAAGAATATGAATTAACTGCTGGATTCAGCCTGAATCATTTGTGCTTTCTGAAAAGAACTAGGAATAGGTTAGGAATGACACCAGCTACTTCTGACACGGCCTGAAAGTGCTCTGGATAGGAGATTTTATCTAAGCAAAACATATATGTTTGTTTGGAATCAGAGTGTGATGGAACTTGCAGGACACAGTCCACCATCAATGTGCTTATGATTGCTTTGGCCTGAAGACAATGCTTTCCATTCCCCTTTTTGTGCATGGGGGAGAAGATGGGAAGAAGATCAAGAACCCCCTTGGGGCCACATAAGGGACTGAACTTAAGGCCTTGGCAGCCACTTGTGATCGATGATAGTTCAGTTTGCATTTGTTTGCTTGGGTTATTAGCACTGATTTTATACCCTTGGAGTGTATAATTGGATTTTGGTTTTTATGCTAAATTGTTTGTTGTATCTTGCCCTGAAATCTATGGGTGTAGGGTAGCTGAGAAATACAGTAATTGATAAACATTCATAACAGCTGTATAGTACCTCCATAATCAGATACAATATGCCTCTCAATACCAGTCCTTGGAGAAGAACAGATGGATAGGACAGAATGGTCTGATCCTGCAGGGCTTTTCTTGCACTTATACAGGCAGCCAGGGCTTTTTTTGTCATAGAACGCACCGGAACAGCATTCTGGCACCTTTTTTCGACGAATTTTTCCACGTGATTTTGAATCTCCCTGTCGGGCATAGCAGGTTGGCAGCAAATAATTAAAATGGTGCATGCGGGCTGCTTGTGTGTCCCCGCTGGTTGTGATGGCGCTGCTCGGCTTGTGATGCTGCTCAGCTTGTGATTGGTCGTGTGGTCACACACTGAGTGCTTACTGTGGGTGGCGACCATTATGTTTCATTACACAGTGTTGGTGTGTGTAGAGTGACTGGCTACGTGCAAAAGGTAAATAATTTTTTTATTTTAAAAAAAGTTGGTGAATTGAAAATCTTTTTAAAATTTTTAGTGTAAAAGTGTGACCCCAAATTTAAAAATGAAAAAAAAAAAAAAAACCTAATTACTTCTCAACCACTGGTCCTGCTAATAAAAGATTACCCTAAAAAAACCCTAAATAAAAGATGAACAAGATGTGAGTTCCGGCACCATTTTTAAAAAATAAAAAATAAAAAAGCACTGCAAACAGCTAATACAGGGTCTCCTCTTCTCTCAGTCTTTAGCTGAACCACTGTTTCTCAAAGGCACCAGAATTGCAAGGGGTCAATTGAAAAACATATGTTGTTGTCTTCTTGACTTGCATTTAGTTATTTGACATCTACAGATTTCCCCAGTGAATTCTTTTTCCCAGGTTGAAGTAGTAAAGATTCTGGACTGTGCTTTGTCTCTTCTGACTGCACTGCCCTTTACACAAGGGGAGTATGTTTCTTACAAAAAATGACAGACTGTCTTTTTCTGAGTCTGATCAATTCCTCAAAATAGTAAGGGAATGTCAAGGACATAGCCAGCTGTTACATGGTGGTAATCATTCTGGGCAGCTGTCCAAGATGAGGAACATATGGCTCTCAGAATCATAGTGTGCCACAGTGCTAAGAGTATTGGACTGGACCTTGGGGATCTGGCTTCTGGTCCCCACCCAGCCATGAAGTCCAGCCATGAAGCCTTGGGCCAGTCTCTCTCTCTCAACCTAACCAATTCCACAGTTTGTTGTTGTGAAATGGAAACTTGGAAATGGAAATGAAATGGAAAGCAGGAAAACCTTGCAAGATGTTTTGGGTTTCCAAAAGAAAGGCAGGGTTAAATGCAATGTAATACTGATACTAATTACTTCCCTTCACTGTTTGATGCTGCTGGAGAAAGCAATTCTGTGTCCACTTCTTCTTTTAGATTCTAGCCTAGAAAAGAAAGCAGAGGATAAAGAAGATTCTAGGAGTGATCAGGTCTTAACAATTTTCCTGTGTATGCCATCCCATGATGCCCAAGATCTCCAGGGGAAGAAGGAAGAAATGGAAGGGGAAACATTGCTGGAGAAGGAGAAGGAAAAAGAGGAGTGCAGCTATGTAAATAGCATTTTTAGTGTTTCTCTGGTAGAAGAGTATATGTTACTGGGGACCTTCAGGGTGTCCACTTATCCCTGGCTACAGTCCTCAAAAAAGTGTAATCCAACTTCATTGACACAATCTTTCTAAAGATACACTTGCATAATTAGCAGAGGAATTCATGCATGAACCACAAGTGAAATAGGTTCTTGGGTATGAATGTGTCTTTGTAATGTAAAGTATCAGTAAAAATGGTTTTCAATAATTACTCTGGAATACAGGTGTGAAGCAAGAATTATTTGTTGTCTAGAAATGGATTTCAGGAAAGACAGCCAGTAAGAAGTAGGGCTGATCAATTTTTAACAACTTCCTGGATGCAGTCTAATTGCACATATATTCTTAGCATATCAATCTTTCACTTCTGCTTGTCCAGTGGAGCAATTGTGAGACACCCACTGGTGGAACAGTAGTTACACTAGTAGGTTTATAATTCACACTTCATTGAGAAATAAATATGTAGCTTCAACATGGTTTTTTGCTTTTTTGCGAGCTGATATGGTATCATGCAATGCTTAAGAAACTGAAAATTCTATGTAGTATCCTAGTATCAGTTTCTAGTCCATATAATATCCTAAAATTGATGGGAGGGCTTTCTCCAACCAAAATTGATTTTCATTTCTCACAGAGCCTATATTGTTCACAAAGGGACTTTCAAACATTCTAAATATTGTTCTAATTATCAGAGGAAATAGAAAATATACCACATTAAAAAGAAGTTTTATCAGAAGCTTTTGATATTTTCACAGTTCTTCCCAGAGGTTTTGTGTCATATTGATAAACACCCTGCAAGTCAAAATTCTCCCACTGGAATATCTTGCACTGTGGGCAAACAGAGCCTGTGGAGACACAGATCATCAGTCTGTCTGAAGACTGAATTTCATTCTAAAGGGCCACGTTCTGATGGTGGGTTGGGTTACAATGCGAAAAATACCAGTATAGTTTAGTTCAAAGCTCTTACTGCTGGTAACTAAGCCTTATGAGAGGAATTTCAGCCTTTAGAAGTATGTTCAGAGGAACTCCCCAGAAGGTGGAAAACATCAGTTAAAGCCTCAGGAATGTAGCTAAGAGAGGAAGGCAAGGTCCTACAGGGAAACCTAACTGAGATTAGGTGGGTCTAGATTGGGTACATGGGTTTTGTATATCCTGTATAAGATATTCAAATTAATTAATAAAGTGAGTAGCATGTTATAGATATTTAATGCCAATATGCAGTACTATGAACTGTTAACTTGTTGTAAGTTTACATTTATAATTTTCCTGATAAATTACAGCCCTATATAGCATATGCTTAGCGGTACAATCGAGGTGGCTCTGTAAACATCCTTACTGTTACAGAGAAATCTTAGTTTGACTGTGTGTAATTGCAAATAAAGGTGCCTTAATCTAATCCAACTGGAGAAGGAAGCTAATACACTAGATAGAGAAATGTCTCTGAAATTCCCTTCAATACAGGTGACAACTAAGTATACCAAACTGGTAGCAGCATGAGAAATACAAAGAAGCTGCCCTGTTGTTACAAACAATTACAAAGAATTGTAGGAGTGTCTGCCTTCTTATTCTATTGAACTAAGAACATAATAATCAAATCTGCCTGCCACTGGGTAGTTCTAACAATTAGGAAGCAGTAATTGCATAAAAACAAGCATTATCCACATGAAAACAGCCTCTATGGTATTCCTACGGCTGAACAAAATAACTCCATCAGTGAATTTACAAACTATCACTCCAAGCTATTTTCTTCAATATGCAGCTTTCCATTTGCAGGAACCTACTACACAGGGTCTACCTGCATGCCAGGATTACACATGATGACAATGTCCGAGGTTTGCTGTCAGTTCTTGATAACAATGCTTGTCAAGTTACATTGCATTGCAGAAGTATTTTCTCCTAGATTCCTTGACTTTTCCACATTTTGTTACAACCTGAAATTGAAATGGATTGACCACTTGATGTATACATCATTTCATCAATATATGATTATATATATATATATAATTGTTATGTTGTACACAAGATACTCAAAACTGTGAAACTGTAAATATTTTTATTGTGAAATAAACTGATGCTTCTTGCTTGCATAAGTATTTACCCACTATACTGTGAAATATCTAAATAAATTCTGGTGCAACCCACTGTCTCAGAAGTCAGAATAGAGAGTTGAAAGGAGCCCACCTGTGGCAATTCCAGTGCCATATGATCTCTGATTAAATACACTCATTTCTGGAATATCCCAGTTTGTTGGAAAGGACATCTAAAAAGCAGCATCAAGCAGCTGTCAATACAACTCTGGAATAAAGTTGTGCAGAAGCACCAATCAGGGTTGGCTTATAAAAAACGAACAAACACATCCAAATTATGAACATCCTCCAGAGCACTGTTAAATCTGTTGCTGCAAAATGAAAAGACTATGGCTCAAGCACAACTTCCTAGAGAAGGCTGTCCTTCAAAACTTGGTGACTAAGAAAGGAGATAATCAGTCACAGAAATAACCAAGATAGCAATGGTAACTCTGAAGGAACTGGAGACCTCCGAAGTTGGGATGGAAGAAACCAACCATTAATCAACAAGATGTTCCACAAAGCTGGCAAAAAACCCCACAACAACCTATTGCTGAAACAAGCACTTTTCAAGGTCTGTTTGTAGGTTGCAAAAAGTCTTGTGGGAACTAACTCAGGGACAAAAGTTCTCTGGTCTGATGAGACCAACATAGAACTTTCTGGCCCTGCTACAAAACACTGTGTGTGGCTCAAAGCCAGCAGTGCTCATTGATCTGAGAACCCCATCTCCACAAAAAGCATGGTGATGATAGCAGCTTTCCCTTATCAGAGACTGAGAAACTGGTCAGGATGAGCCTGGTGGATAATGCCAAATACAGGACAATTCTAGAGGAAAACCTGTTTCAGTCTACAAGGGACCTAGGATGGGGGTGGAGGTTAGTATTCTATCAGGACAATGCTAAACACACAGCCCAAGTAACACTAAAATGGTTTCAAAACAGGAATCTGAATGTCTTTGAACTGAATGGTCAAAACCCAGACCTCACTCTAATTGAGAATCTGTGGCAAGGCTTGAAAGCAGCTGTTCACGAATGGCTGCCATCCAACCTGACAGAAGAGGATCAGTTTTGCCAGGAAGAATAGGCAAGCGCTGCAGGATCCACAATGGAGCACAAAGCTAATAGAAACTTACTCAAGTAGTTTCTATGCTGTTGTTGCTGTTATATACAATCAGGTTACCTCTGACTTATGGTGACCCAATGAGTGAAAGCTCTCCAAAATATCCTAACTGTTCTGCAGTCAAGGCTGTAGCTTCCTTTAAGGAGTCAATCCAACTCACTGTTCTTTCTTTTCTTCTCCTGCTTACTGTATTAACTGAAGGGGAGAATAGTTATACAACCCACACATGCCAGGTTTTTTTTGTTTGTTTGTTTGCTTAAATGTTGTGCCACAATAAAAATATTTTGTTGAATATCTTGTGTACAGCAACTGGTAACAATGCCAGGCCAATTATTTACAGTTCCAAGATGTAATACAAGAAAATGTGGAGGGGAGCAGGGTTAATACTTCTGCAAGGTATTTCAAGGAACCCTTTCTAAATTGCTTTTCTACCAAAGAACACATGCACACAGCAAAGTACATTTTAGTACTCACTCAGTTTATATGGGGTATCCCATACAGGCCTTAATCATATGCAAAGATAGAGATCAATATGCTTCAGAACGTGCACCAACAGTTCTGTATGAATATAGATTGTAAAAGAATGTCATAACAGGAAACAAGATGTCTTTCAAAGAAGCTTGTTAACTACTACTGATCTGCTCTTTCAAAATTCTTTGATAAGTTTCTGATGAATGCCAGGGTTTGGGGTTTGTGAGCTCTCACACTTCCAGGATCTGCCTGTTACTATTGTTTAACAGTGTTTTTATCATGACATTGTTAACAAATATTCACATTTATTGTGGCCAAATAAAACTGTTAGCTACCTATGCACACACATTCATCCCAAACTAAGTTACAATAATCTAGTGCACATTTTCAGTTCTTCATAAAAACATTATGCCACCCATGTAATTAGATACCTTCATGAGCTTCAGTCTGCCTCACTCTGTACTGAAGTGTGGCCAACCCCATTAAAAATAAATATAAGTAATATAACTTTTTTCAATTTCCCACATTACAAATCTACATTATTTAATTTGTTCCCATTGTGATTCTAAAGTTCTTGTGTATTTTTAAGAAGCTTTCACTCACGTAGGATTAACAGAAAATCAATTTTATAGCATTTAGATATGGATCATGAGATGTCATGGTCACATGAAACCTCTATGCATGAATGCACAATCTCATCTACTTGCGTAGTGTAATGAGTGAAAACAGATCCTTATTAATTGGAAATGCAATTGGAAATAACACACACAAGAATGTATACTTTAGGCTCAACTTTTGGCTTTGAATACGTCTTGCTGTACAGACAAATACCGTTTTAGGATTTTGCCCACCCCCTAATGAGCTACTATCACAATTTGGGGCTGCTATTTTTTAAACAAACACTTTAATCCTGCAACAGGGTGGGAATGGGTTAGGGTTAAATTTATTAAATTTATGAGCACATAAATAGTGCTAGTGAAGCAAAACAAAAGTTGGCAGTCCTAATCATAGATACATAAATGGGCACAGATATTAATGATGCTGTACAATAGAAAGGACAAACACTTTTAAAAAACTGTTAAGCTTCAGGTTTCATTGCCAAATCTATGGAAATTTCTTCCTGGATGTTTCCATATCACAGTCTTTCTTATCTTATTAATTTGGAGGTTTAATAAATTCTATCAGGTAGCAACTTGATAGTGTTACTCCACACTATTAATCCCATTCTGCTTCTAGATTAATGTCTCATGATTTGAAAAATGATGTGTTGAATTGTAAAGCCACAAGCACCCTAGGTACTGGATTCAGGCTGGCCATTACAGAATTGCTTATTCTGTTCATTGAGGGCACTGGAAGCTCCCTGTTGAAAGAAAACAACAATTGTGGAATTTTTGCTGATTTCTCCTCCCCACTCTGTCACATCTGCCTGCACCACAGGATCTGCTAGCCAGTCCTCCAGAGCAGCTTTTCAGGGTGACTCAGGGGGAAGGAAGAACTATGAAGATCACCTTCCTCCATAGAGAAAGGACCTCTGCCAAGTGCTGGCCTGTATGTCTTCTTATGACTGCATAATTAACTGGTCAATAAAGCAGACATTTTGGTACCCCAAGAAGACTTTTCACTGCTGGAATGAAACTCAGGGACCAAACTTCTATCATTTTTCAGGGATTCCTGTTGCAAGTGAAAGCATTCCCTTAGCTTTATTCCAACTTATGCTGGGGGCATAAGAGAAGCAAGATCACTTTTGTATATCCCTAAGTGGATAAGGAATTGGCACTAGTTCTACACACAGCACTGGCAGCACTAGTGCCAAACAGAGAATTGGATGATTAAATCTGGATTACTGAATTACCGAATCCTCCACGCTCTGCATCCAGATGATTGGCACTATCCCTGATGATCTGCCAAGGCCTCCAACTGGAATGTTCTCCAGCAAATTATGCAAAATATTGTTTGAATACTCACCATAATGTTATGTTGTTCTGCCACTGTTTTGCTTCCCAGCCATTTACACTTATGAGGGACTAGATGCAGTGTGCTCTGAATTTTCCCATCCCATAGATCTTGGAGTTCAGCCTCCCCACACCACCCCCTTCCCCATGTACCTCTGCTGCAGCCTTTAAAGCATTTGGCTTGCTCATTAAAAATGAAATACATCTGATTGGATTTTAGAGCTAGCATGTTTATAACTGATGGACTCTAACATGCTAGAAGAGGCTCCATTCCTGTTCAATCTAAAAAGGAATGCAATATTTGTTATCCAAATGCAGCAGGAGTCTTATAAAAGAAGGGGGAGAGCAGACACATTTCAATTCAGGAATTTCACTTCTCAAAGGAGTGATCATTTACTCTTAACATTTATTTGTATTCCTGGTTTGCACTGATTCCTTTCAGTGAGGTTTGATATTGAATGAATATTTTACTTAAGATACCCATCACCCCTGGAAGAGATAGTATGCAGGAATGGTATTCCCACACCAGTAGACAGTTCTAGGAGACAGCAGGTTAGCCAAACTGAGAAACAGCAGTTCCCATCTTGTTTGAGCAAAATTCCACAGCAAAATGCAGGAAAGACCTTTGGGTGGGGGAGTCAAGAGCTATTCTACAGGCACTGGCTTCCTTAGAGCGGAGGCAGGAAGAAAAGATATCCAGATGTTTTGGGCTAGCTTCCAGAAGCTCCTGCCAGCATAGCCAAGCATTAGGAAAGCTGGATGTCACTGTCCCAAACATCTAGAGATCTATTTTCTGCCCATCCCTGCCTTAGAAGTGAGTCAAGTAGCCATGTTCAGCTCCCCTCTTCCTGCCACTGCCCCCCCTTCCATTCTTCCTGCCAGTGCTTTTTGAAGTAGGGTGGACACTTATGAAACATCAAAAAAGATGCCAGAATATGGCAGCTATTCACAAAAAATTGTATAGGCTAATTTAAATGTATAGTTACAATTTTTCATTATCATTATTAAGTAGAAATGCAATACATTGCAACATAGGATGGAAGGTTGTGATCAGGTTACTTTGGTGCTTGCCTGTTCAGTCTGCCATTCAGGGGCTAACTGTTGAATGGCAATATTACTTATAAGAACATAAGAAAGGCCATGCTTTTCATGCTACATTCAACCAAAGGTCAATCTAATCTAGTACTCCATACACATTGTGACAATTAAGCTGCTCACAGGAGCCCTCAAGTAGGATGGGTGTAAGACCTCTACCTGCCCAAACTCCTCAGCAACTGGTGTATGTAGGGGTGTTACCTATGGTAAGGTAGGCAGCATATAGCCAGAAAGACTAGTAAGCACCAATAGCCCCCTCCCTCTTGAATCTGTCCAATCCTTTTTTTTTTTTAAAGCCATCTGGATTGGTTGCCATCACCACTTCCTGTGGTAGCAAATTTCATAGTTTATATAAGCTGTGTGGAGAATTACTTCCTTTTTTTCTGTGCTAAACTTGCCACCAATCAGCTTCATGGGATGACCTTGGGTTCAAGAGTTATGCAAGAGGAAACAAAAGTCTCCCTCTCCGCTTTATCTGCACTATACATTACTTTAAACACCTCTATCGTGTTTCCCCTTCGCCTTTTTTCAAAGCTGAACAGTCTCAGTTGTAGCCACATCTCATAGTGAAATTTGCCCTTCTCTGCATTTTTCCAACTTTTTGGTTGCAGCAACGATTTGTGAAAAGGAAGTAATATTTTGGCAATTCTGTTTATTCTGTTCCTAATTGTACCTAGCATGGAGTTTGCCTTCTTCACAGTAGCACTGTGAAGCACTGGGCCAACATTTTCATCAAGCTGTCCGCTACTACCCAAGATTCCTCTCTTGCTCACTCACTACTAGTTCAGTTCCCATCAATGTATAATTGAAGTTGGAACTCTTTGTCCCAGTGTGCATTGCTCTACACTGCTTCTATTGAACTGCATTTGCCATTGTGATACCCATTCTCCCAGACTGGAGAGATCCCTTTGTAGCTCCTCACAATCTCTTTTGGCTTTCACTGCCCTAAAAAGTTTACTATCATAGGCAGATGTGGCCACCTCACTATTTACTACTAATTCCAAGTCATTCATAAATAGGCTGAAAAGCACTGGTCCCAATATACAGAATCCAATGGTGACCTTTCTCCTGCCATTTATTCCCATCCTCTGTCTTCTGTTTCTTGTCCTCCAGGAAACAAAATGTCCAGGGCTAGTCCAACCAAGTTACCATCTAAGCAAGAGGCAAATTGCATGGAACCTCATTGAGTTTTTGCCTGGAGATATTTTTTTGCCACAGGTCTGAAAGAAACATTTCAGATGTAGAAACTCCAGGCCATGGCCAGACTAGGGCTCCCAAGAAAAATTAGCTGGGAAGCCTGGAGCCTCACTGTTGTTCATTAAAAGTCTAAGATAAATCATTAAAATTGTTCTCACCTTATAGTGTTATGAGCAAACCGTGAAAGGGATATGTAGCTCAAAATGTACAAATGGAGGAGTCAAGAGTGAACAAGACTAAGTCAGAAGATGAAAAGCACTATCTGGAACAGATATGCTTATACCCGGCAAATAAGTAGGCACAATTCACATTTGTGCTGTCATGCTGTTTCTTTCATATCTAATGGGTTTCAAGCTGGAGAACCTCACAGTAATTTGCACCCAGTAATATGTATAGTAAAATGTCAAACCATGGAAAATTCAATGCAGAAACCTTAAAGGGGCAATCCTAAGCAAGGTTTAAAAAACATCAAGGAAAAAGATGCTCAGTGTCCCAGAATTTGCTTACATGTTATTTACTAAACTAAAAAGTTCAGGAGCTTTTTGCAGATTTCAAGTGGTTCTCCAATCAACACAGCTATTTCATCAGTGCAATCCATTGTTAATTACAGGACTGAGAAATTTTAATGTATGTGAAATTCATTTTTGGGCCACTTGGTGGCACAACTTATCTCCTTTTGGTTTTAGCAAACACTATTCTCTAAAAAGAACCTGTGAGGTTGGTGTGTGGAGAGTACTTGTGTCCAGCAGGTGTCTCTTCCCAACCATGCAATGGTGCTTGAAATGCCTGCTTTATTCTTTTGGATGGGGAATTATTCTTTTCTAAATCTTTCTATCTTTTTGAAAAATTGCTTTGACATAAGATTAGCATAACTCAATATGATGCAGAAAATACAGTCCAGCTGACTCATCATTCCACAATAAATTTTCCTGTTTGTTTTTTCAGCCCAGGTGTGTGCAACATGGAAGTACCCCACAGAATATAACTGCATTATTTTATCATTCTTTACAGTCAATTAGGAAAGACATTTGGCTCATTTTTAAAAGACTGTCCTGGATAATAAGAACTACAAATGCTGACAATTATGTTTGCCATTTGACATGTTTAAAAAAATACTTGTCAACTGCACCACCAGCATGGAATTTCTTCCCCTGGAGGTTCCCCAAAGCTTCAGCCCAAGCATGCTTTGGAAGCTCTTCAGTTTCACTGGGATATGGTTAGAGTTGTTACATCTTGCTTCTACTTTACTTTGAAATTGATGTCATCTGCTGCAAGCCTTGAAGTAAATCATCTAGGGCTGGGTTGTGAGCAGCAAGATGAACTGGGAAGCAGGAGCCATCAGACCCAAAGAGGAATCAAGACCAAAAAGTAGGTCAGAGTCAAGAGACAAACTAGGAAGCACAATCAAGAAGGATGCCAGGAGTCAGGGGCAAGAGAAATTCAGGACAAACAGACAAGCCAGAAGGCTGGCCCAAGGAGCAAGCAAGAACTAAAGGATACAGGAATTCATCACAACTTTGAAGATCTTGATGCTTAAGAAAGGCTTAACTGGCCGAGGGAGTGGCCATATATCCCTTCTTGCCTGCTTGAACAAATTGCATCCGTGCTGGGCCTACAAAGTGCCTAGGCAGATGCTCCAAACATGCCGCTCAGTGGCTCAACCATGTGGAGCAACCACATACAGGTGTCCAGGTTGAGCCCTGGCAGCTCATTCCATCTATTGTAATAAATATGTAATTACTTCTTTCAGAAGGATAATTTGTATTCCTGTACCATGATGCTTCACATACTGACCTGGAGCAAGAGCAGTTTAAAAAATTGATGGCAGGATATACACACTGGCAGCATTTCCACTTAAGTTGCACATTCATGCTAACATATGAGGAGGAGTTTCATCCATACTGTATCTGCAATCCACATCTGTCTCATGCAATTGCCATCATTAGTTTCCTTTGGACATTTCAGAAGTATAAAAAGCATGTGAATCATTTGACAGGGTTGGCCATAATATTAAAAAGTAAGTCTCCTAGACATGGGACTCAGACTAAAGTCTCCTCCAAGGAAAGCAGTGCTGAAGGCATTTCTGTGAGATAAAAGAATGTTAAAAAGATAAAAAGCCTGCAATTTTATAGACATTTGCCTGGAACTGGTTGTAAGCCCCACTGAACACAGTGATGAGGTACACATGCATAAACCAGTACTGGAAGAGCTTTTCGGCATAGGCCTATCAGCGGTTAATTCTCTGCATCTACTTTCAGTTTCATCACAGAGCTGAACTCTGAGCTCTGAGTATTTCCTTTCTTGTTTTCCCATTGTAGAACCCCTAAGTGGCACTGTGGTACAATGGAATGGTGCAAAAGTTCCCTTCACAATGAAATGGTGCATTCTCCTTGCTCTAAAACAAGTTGTTAAGGTGCTGGTTAAACATGGAAGCAATACGGGAAGGTTGGAATTTCTAAATAACCATGAATAAGAAATATTGGACACTCAATAAATGCCTTTAGAAAATGCCTCTATTTCTGAGTAAACTTACATCAAATTGCACTGTATAAAATATCTAAGAAAGGAAATCAGTTTAAAACAGTCACCATTTGTAATTTAAAAAGCTAAGGAAAATTCGAATTCTTTGGCACTGAAGAAGTCAAATAAAATGTGTAACGTCTGTTGATAATTGAGCCTCACCAATGTCCCATTTAGCCTGACAATTGCAGTAAATGATCTAGTACCAGTACTGTGTTATCCTCTTTTGCATCACTGATAATGAGAGCCAGCAAATGAGAGATAATGATAAACATAGAGCCAGTGAGGTGGGGACCTGGGCGGCCTGGATTCTAGCTCGCTGGGTGACACTGGGGCAGTCACTCACTCATAGCCTAACCTACCTTACAAGGCTGTTGTGAAGATAAAATGGAGCTATGTAAACCACCTTGGGTTCCTCACAAGAGGAAAAAAGTGGGATATAAATGTAATGAAATGTGATGATGAAGTTTTATGGCTATAAAAAGGGCAACTCTGTACAGTAACATTCACTGCTTGTTTTCAAATCAGTCCATGTCAGAGAGGTACTGCATGTCAATGAATTAAATGAATGTGTGGCAATCTATAACCAAAAAAAGAAGAGAGCACCAATGAGCCATACATTTGTCCCCGCATAACATGGGGCATTTTACATCCTGGTGGGAGGGCTGTGTGAACCCAAGGTTTATGCCAGCATTTTACCATAAGTACTACTTACCTGCAGGACTGATGGGTGAGCCAGACCTTGCATTCAGATGTGCTGTGAAAACTTATGGAAATAGTTATGAGGAAAACATGAGAAATCAGTAGTGCAGTAGTGTATTGAAGTAGAGGGTATCAGATTTTTTTCTTTAAAATATGTTGGAATAAATAATGTGGGAAGTTTGCAATAAAGCATTAAATAGAGCATTTCTCAAGTTAATTGAAGTGTTCACTCTCAGTACTGTAAAGTGGAATTTCTGTATGTATATAGAAGTTTTACTTAACACATGTCCAATTGGCCATCCAGTCATTGAATCCAAATTACTTGAGTACTGTTCAGTAAAAAGGAATAAATTGGCTGAAATCCAGATACTCCAGCTTAATTATTTGGTGACTATACTTGAAATATTTCTAAAAATGCTTTGGAATAGAGATTGTTCTTAGGCTGGAGAATACTAGAATTGTAGACCTTTTTTCTATCTAAAAAATCATGGGTTTGTACCATTTTCAGGGATCTCGGTGAAGTGCCACCGATGCTGAAGGTGCTGGGGACCTGTTTGGAAATGACATATGCCATTCACTTCAGCCTCATACACTCCCCATTTCCCAGGCATGTCCCTTTGCTTCCTCTTTGGGGCTGATATATAAAGCCAGAGAGTCCCCCGTGCAGTATACCAACTGAGAGGGTGGGGAGGGGACACTGTGTGACAAGATAATGTCAGGAAGCCAAAAGATTGCTTCCTTGGTTAACCTACGTCATTTCCCTGAGACTCAAGTGGGACTTTCTCTATGCTGGCCTCACTGGATAGTATAAAAAGTAGTAATCAATGCCCAGCATTATGATGTATCAGGGAAAAAAGGGAGGGTGCGGGTTCTACTGAAGCACTGAATTAGCACTGGCAGGATATACTAAGCCTATTTTTGTGTCATTGTTAATTAGGGTTTACAAGAAGAAGAAGATGATGATGATAAAGTGCATGATGCTGCTATTTATTATTGCTTCAGAAAAAAATATTTCTCTATATTCTGCTTCTCTTAGCCCTCTTTTCTGGAAGTTATTAATTATAATTTGGAATACTTCTATGAAAAAAGTTGGGTAAATCACCTAAATACCCCAGATCTATCATGCTATCTATTCATTTTATCTGTATCCTATTTGCCTATAGGATACGATGAGATGATTGCCTTTTTCAACCATATTTTCAATGCGTGTTAAAAAAAATATCTGCGATTAAAATTAGTAGCTAGCTATAACCAACTTGCAGACACAGTAGGACTTCCTTAGGAGTACAGTGCATTCACCAAATTGTAGTATGTGAGTTTTAACAACTTGTTATCCTCCATTTTTTTTTAATTTGTGCCCAGCATATACCTGCATACATTTAGTAAAAAATAATTCATTAACTAATGCTGGATGAGAAACTTAAATGTTAAAATGTCCCCATCTCACATAGATCATGTATTAATCATTATTGTGTATTAGTGATTATCTTTTTATCACACAAATGTCTGAGGGAAAAAACAGTTTTTTCAAGGTGAGAACTTGCCAGTGATCACTTCTGCCATGAGCTGATGTCACCAGGATGTGTAGTGCACTGTTCATGCTTCCTTGATGGTGCTGAAAATAAAGTAACATAATGATTTATACCTTCACATTACTGTTCCTTTGCATTGCCCACCTTTGTTTGTATCTGTAAAATAAAATAAAAAGTCACTATCATCAGCAAGCCCACATAAGGGAGGAATGGAGGGATAGAGTTCAGAAAATTCAGGATGAGCCATGTCCCTCCACCATGGAAATAAATAAGAGCGTAACCTGTTCTCTGCATTCTATTTAAACAAAAGGGCAGTTCACCTACTCCTAGAGCCAACTCTTGTATCTCCTGGACCAACCAGACAACACAAGCTTATATTCCAGTGCTTGAGAACCTCTTTCAGCCTGAGGCCCAGATTCAGCTTGGAGGCTGCATTCCAGTGGTGGATAGAAGGGTAGGGACAACATACAAAATCACAAGCTGAGGTAGTGTAGCTTAAAGTTCTAATTGCAATCCACTAAGTCTTTGAACACCCATTTCAACATTTTAAGGAAGGAGGGAATCACAAAAACTGAAAAGCTACCAAATAACTGGTGGTTGGAGAAAGGGATGGAGCTGGGGAAGAGGTGATGCTGATGGTGCTACCTCAGAGAGTTACATTTGACCCTCAGCCTGAATTACCTTACCTTCTTGTATGTCATGCAGCATGCTTAGATGAAAAAAAATCTGTTTCCACCTACAGTCCTAACTTTGGGTTTGAAGCTTCCTCTTTCCACACCAACCCCAGTGGGAAATCAGCATACACTCTGAGACACTATGTAAAATCTCTTTTCAGAAGTGAAAAACAGTGGATCAAGAAAAGCCACATATGATTGGTCCTTTTTCTGTCAAGTCCACCAAGTGCTGCATACATTGCATTTCAAAGTTGAAAAACTCTGTATCATCCCTAAGCAGGCATCCATCAGTATAGCAGTGGATGGCTTTTCAGAAAACTGGATTATGAATTAAAAGAGTAGCCATGTGAGCCATACAAAACACTACATTCTTGAGCCTTTAAAATGAAAGGTGCCTTGCTTTTAACATTGGTTCTGATAAAACTATGAGCTTTCTTTTGGGTCAGTTCTTCCTTTCTGGCACTATGATCTCTCTGACCTTTTTCAGGAGAGCGATGCAGTTGCCCACTCTGACTTCACTTTAGACACCTGTTTACTCTGACTCATGTAGTCCTCATAAGGACTCACCCAGTTTTTTGACAGCTAACCTCACTCAGGTAACAGTATTTTGCTAATATCCTTCCAGAGCCATGTAATAACATGCCTTGCACCCAATGCCCAACATCATTCATCTTAGCCCTGCCATTTGGCTGACATGTCAGGGCTTTATGATTTATACAGAAATCTAAATATTAGAGCCCAGGGGATTAATTCACCATGGAATTACACTGCGATGCTGGCAAAACTGCATCTGGCATGAGACAATGGAGAATGAGAATATTTCCAACTTGTGTGTCACATATACAAGCTGATTCAACTGTAAGCTGATATAAAAGAGCATAATGCCATGCTCTCCAGAACGATACCCACAAAGCAGAGCCAGACCGGCTTGATACGAAAGTAGTTTTCTGTACCAAACATCCCAGGACTTCTATAATTCAAACAGGTGTGAAAATTTGCCAAAGGGGAAACATTTCACGCAGTCCACATGGCAGAAAGATTTTCATCATGTATTGATCATCTACACAAAATTTTGTTAAGGAAGGGATAGGTGACACTCTTGCTTTGCTCTGAGAAGGAAAACCCTAATCCTACCACTTAATGTGTACTTAGCATCAGCCATGTGTCACAGACATGACATAATCCTGCCCAGTAATCTATGGCTGACATTCACAAGCTACTGAGTCTAGAACAGACCTATTTTATTTTGCATGGATTTTCCCAGAGAAATAAATGGTAGATGACAGAATAAAACAAGAGATGCAGTGTTGAAGAAGGAGAACACAGTTGATTAAAGAACACTGGGCTGCAGGGATGGAGCATGGAAGAGGTATTGTCAAAGACCAAGATCTAAAAGTGGGATTTTGCAGTTGAGAAAAAAATGAGATGATATCCCAAAATAATAAAAGATGGCAACAATATGTAAATTCATTTGGAATTAAACATACTCTACATTTGAACCCCATCTTGATCCAGGCAAGCTGAAAGCACCATACTATTTGTTATGGGGCAAATATTCAAGTTTCTACAGCAGAGGTGTGCTTTATTAATTAAAAAAGGTAAACCTCTCATGGGTAAACACTTGCCTTGGAGCCTGTTAACAGCTAAATCTCTACATGAAAGCAGATAACTTTGCTTCTGCACTCGTTTTGGCATCTCCCAGATAAAGAAGTTATGCAGCTTGACAAAGCACTTTGCTCTTACAAGTCTTAACAGAACCACAGGGATTTTTTTAAAATGTCTCCTTTCCAACACCTGTTGCAGAGAAGGCAGGGGTGGTCTTTATGCAACTTTCCTTCACCCTGCATTCTCATTGTATATTCCTTGATCTACTCGTTACTAGTACATTTTGTAGCATGCCTGCATGAGGAAAAGTAGGATTTAAGTGTATTCCAAAGTATAAATATCTACTTTGGAATTCATTATGAATATTAACACAGTAAGGATATGTGTGTCTACTGTTTGATTTGAACAATATGCCTATATAAGTGTTGGTAGTTTAAGCCGTTTGTTCATTAAAAATGTTATACAAAGTTTCATTTAAACACTGGTATTATGTAAACACTACAAACAAGCAGTGTGATACCATATGGTATGCTAAGAGTACTTCCTGATGAGGTTTTTATCATGCCCTGCTTCATTCACAGAACTTGATTGACTGATGCTGGCAACTGACCTTGCGGGGCTTTTCAGCAGTAAAGCCAAACAACAACTTTACAGGTGGTCCAAATATTGCCATCTCACACTCACACTACCTGACCAAACTGCTCTCCTGACCTGAATCTGCTTGGACACTCCAATCTTACTCTGAGGCTTTTCTCCAAGTGCCACCTCCAAGATAAGTTTGGAGGGTAGTGACAAGGGAGGGGTCCAGTAGTCGCATTGCCAGTTCCAAACCACCCAGAAAGCTTTGCCTATGGGGTGGGGTGGGGGGATTATAGAAATTAAATAAATAACAAGTATTATTATTGCACAAAGATCTTCCCCCTGCAGTTCACCTAGCACCAACTTCATTATCTTTTGCTTCCAGGTTCCAACTACCCTCTTCTCCCAGGCTTCCAGTGGCATAGGATGGGACATACCAGCCATTTTAACAGGTCTAGGTTTTATTGAAATTGTTTTAGAAGCACAAACTGCTTTAAAAACTCATATAGTGACATGTTATGCTGTATTTTATTGCATCTGTTTTTATGCTGTATTTTTGTTACTTCAACAGTGTCTTATGAATTGCTGTGAATTGACCAGTTTGCTTAGGCTGTTGGGCAGCATAGACATGAAGCTAATTATAGCTGTTCTGTGCCTTTACACCATTTCTTCTATCTTATTCCTTAGCTGCTGCATGATGCCTCCAGATTTACAGTTCCAGGAGCCCTGTGATCTTCAAGGATCCCAAGTGAGAACCAGGTGCTCCCCTCTGGGCCATGAAGGAATCCATTCATGCTGTGTTCCAACCTTCCTTCATCTGGTGCCTCCAGTTTGTACTGGACTGCATCATTTTCGGGGATGATGGGGTTTGTAATCCAACATCTGGAGCAATGGGCAGGCTGGCAGGCGGGTATATTTTTCAAAGAAAACTAAAGCTACTTTCTTAGCAATGCTGTTAGGAAAACAGGATTCGAACATGCATATATTATTTTTCTTACCTGTCCTTTCTCCATCTCTCAAGAGACTTTCTCAGCAGATTGGAAGAATAGGAAGAAAACGTTTAATTCTTTGCTGAGCCATATTACAGGACTGACTTGATTTCCTCCAGGAAGGAAATGCAAAATTCTTTGCAGCAAGACCTTTGAAAATAGAAATAGAACTCAATTAGCCCTCATCCTGTGCATGTTTACTCAGAGAAAAGCCCCACTATGCCCGACGAAACTTACTCCCAAGTAAGCACGCACAGAACTGCAGCCCTCGTGTTCACAGCACCGACTTTTCCCTTTGAATCGGAGTTTTTTCGGACCTCCAAACAGGCCCAGATCCAGCTGAAGCTAGCTGCGTTCAGCTCCGGATCATTTCAATGGGACAGGGTTAACTTCAGCTGGATCGGGGCAATGCCTCTTGCTGCCAGCTATTCAAGGAGAAATACGAACTATTTCCTTAATCTATTCAACATTCTCCGCTAAACTCCTCTTCACTTCCAAAAATAGCAAGCGTCACATGACAAGCCAAAGGCCCGCTCATTAGTGTCTTAAACGGGACTATTTGTCTTGGAATGGTTTCCCCTCAACCCTCTGCTCTTTGCCCCTAATAAGAACGAACAGTTTATCCTGTGCCTTTTCATTATCACACATCTGGGAAGCAGGCTTGTTTTGTTCTTTCTTTCTTTCTTTCTTTCTTTCTTTCTTTCTTTCTTTCTTTCGCTCATGTTTAGTTTAATCAATAACTGTCACTTCTGGAGGGACTGCCTGCGCAGCTCCTGACCCAGGCGGGGGAAAGTGCCGTTAAATCTCAACTTCTCCCTGTCTTAATCTACTTTAATTGGCGGGCTAGCAGGCAGAAATCCGACAAGCATTCAAGACGCTCCTCCTGACAACAGAGACTTCCCCTGCTCCTCGCAGCTCGCCCGGTGGGAGGAGTCGAAACCTGACCCCAAGTCTGCAGCTCCTAAAAGGGATTGGATCCTCCTCGCAAAGAGCAAGGAGTCGCTCTCTCGGCCAAGCAGGCAGTCTGTCCAAGAACTCCCGCGACTGCACAAGCGATTGGAGGAAAAGAGCACCTCAGCCCGCCCTCCTGCACCTGACGAGCGGGTATTTAGTTTTCTGCACTTTCAAGGAGGCTGTGCGCGACATAATTCCACTTGCATGGGGTAAGCCGTGGATACCGTGTTATAAAGGACCAATGTGCCAGCCCTGAATCCGTCTGCTGCTCCAAAGCCCGGGACCGTTATTCTGCAGCGAGCGGCTTTCTTCTTCGCGAAAGGGGAGGGCAAGCCTGCGTTTCAAAATGCCACGATCTTTCTTGGTCAAGAAGCATTTCAACTCTTCCAAAAAGCCAAATTACAGTGAACTGGATACTCACACAGGTAATCCAAGTCTGAATGCTGTCTTAAAGTTGGAAGCGTTGCTCTCTGAAACTCTCAGAGAGAGAGTTGCTAAAGTAGAAGTTGTTTGCCAGGTTTCACACGTTGGTGCAAACTTTAGCGAAGTTTATATGGGGTGGGGGGAGTGGAAGGCTTTTCTTTTCTATTAGAAACACGTCAGTGCCAACGGATTTGCAGCTCCACCTTGCAGAGTTTGGCTTTGCTGCTAAAAAGAAAGGCGTTCTCAGTGGCAAACATGAAGGAGTTGTTTTTTTATGGGGGGTGGGAGGGAGACCCATAGGAGAATCATGTGGATTTTACTGCTGGTTTCTCTGGCTGCAGAGCTCTGGCAGGGACTGTGACTGTGATCAGACTTCAAGCTTACGGTGCAGAGCATAGATGTTATGTGTACAGAGATGAAGTTATGGAGGGTTCAGTCTGTAAAATCTTCTGTTGTGCATCTCACTGGAGCTTGATAATGTCAGCAGGATTTCATCACTGGCAATCTTCAGGAGTATTGGTTGTACTGCTGTGATACAAAGTCAGATCTCAGTCATCTTAAAATTGTTCTCTCTTTCTCTCCCCTCCAGTGATTATTTCCCCTTACCTTTATGAGAGCTACCCGATGCCTATAATTCCACAGCCAGAGATCCTGAGCTCGGTTGCTTACAACCCCATCACAGTGTGGACTACAACCGGTCTGCTGCCTTCTCCCTTGCCCAGTGACCTCTCGCCTCTGTCTGGATATCCTTCATCCTTGGGAAGAGTCAGCCCACCGCCTCATTCTGACACCTCATCCAAGGACCACAGTGGCTCTGAGAGCCCCATTAGTGATGAAGAAGAGAGAATTCAGTCCAAGCTTTCAGACCCCCATGCAATTGAAACTGAAAAATTTCAGTGTAGTTTATGCAACAAGACCTATTCAACTTTCTCTGGACTGGCCAAGCACAAGCAGTTGCACTGTGATGCCCAGTCTAGGAAATCTTTCAGCTGTAAATACTGTGACAAGGAATATGTGAGCCTGGGAGCTCTTAAGATGCACATCAGAACCCACACGTTACCTTGTGTCTGCAAGATCTGTGGCAAGGCTTTCTCTAGACCCTGGTTACTTCAAGGTCACATCAGAACTCACACTGGTAAGAGAGAGAGATGATTGCACCATGTATCACCACAATACCTTGCTTCCCTTCTTTTAAACTGCATTTTATTGTCAAGTTGATGCTGTGAAATTAATGGCATTAACACCAACATTCATTCCGATTTGTTCTGTGAAGTCTTCACCAGATCGCTTTCCTTTTCTTTCCATATCTCATTTGAGTGGGTCAGATTATGTATTGCTGCAACATTTTTTGGCTTCACTGACATTAAACTTTGCTTCAGCAAGCTGTCACAAGACAGACATCCATCTGGCCATAAGAATTCCTTGTTTCAACTTGGAACATGTTGTTGGGAAGAATGCAGGACTGAGATAGAAAGCAAACAGAAGCAAGGCAGAAAGAATAGGAAGCAAACAGAAATATCAGGTTCCTGACAGTAATCTGCACAGTCAAGATTTGTGCCCAGGCAGTGCATACAGCAAACCCCTTTAGTCAGCATCTGGGCACAGAATCCAGTTTACTCTCTGCTCAAACATATTTTACTTGGAAATGAGCTCCATTGAAACCAACGGAACTCAGTCTGCAAGAAATATGTGTACTGTAGGTAGTCTGTTAGAAGAATTATGATTTCTGTCCCAAATACACACAGCTTTGCTATATAGAAAATCTAAGCAATTTAGTTTAGCAAAAGCATGCATGGGATTGTAGCCTGAAATAGTGGATGTGGTTTCCAAATAAATAAGTTTGGAAGCATAGATGAATCCAGTTTAAGGTTGCAGCAGGAATCTTATGTATTACTTGGGAATAAATCCCAATCAGGACACATTGTGATTCAAACACCACATAAAACTAAAGTCTAAACTAAATCAAATTGTCTTCAATGGCATTGACAAGCTTAATGGTACAATTTTGTGTATGCTTATGTGGGTGCAAATTCCACTGAACATGGCTTGATTGATTTCCAGATTGGAGCTGCATCCATATTCATGAACTTGAAATGCATTCAGCATACTTCTGTGTAGGATGTAGGATTAGATTGTAATCCAAGACTGTCCATGCATGCCAATTGTTTGTGCATTGACTACTGCCTTTCACTGATCATGTGTGTGGTAGAACTTTATGGGTTTGTATTTGGATATTTTCATGGCAGAATGTTCTTGCTGATTCTAGTTCTTTTTCTAAAAGAGTAGGGTGCAATGCTGAAATATTCAACTGATGAGAGTTCTGCCATTCACAGCAGCAGCTTGTAAGCAATAGCCTTGGGCAGAAGAAGGTGTTGTACAGGATACAGTAAATGAATCAGGGAATATATGAAAATATTGGGTGGAGCTCAACCTAGAGGCGCTGCTTGCACCTGCTGAAGCAGAAGGTGTCAGTAGCTTGTCTTCAGATGCATCATGTGTGCAAAGCCTGAGAAGTATGAATGATGGTCCATAGTGTACTGAACTCTAATAATACAAGGATTCAATCACCCTTTTCATAGATTTTTTTTGTCCTTTCTGTGCAAATAAGTGGCCCTTTTATACAGGACATTCCTTAAGTTAGCTTTTGAATGATTAAACATCTTTGTTTGTTTGTTTGTTTGTTTGCAGGAGAGAAACCTTTTTCATGCCCTCATTGCAACAGAGCATTTGCAGACAGGTCTAATTTGAGGGCCCATCTGCAGACCCATTCAGATGTGAAGAAATACCAGTGCAAAAATTGTTCCAAAACTTTCTCCCGAATGTCTCTTCTGCACAAACACGAGGAGTCTGGCTGCTGTGTCGCTCACTGAGTTTACCTGGGCTCTGTACTTTTTTCCCACTGCTTTTCAACAAGATAAGAGAAACCTTTCTCTCTCTCCCTGGCATTTTATTTCTCCATCCTAACTCAGCAACTTTCCCAGAAGGTGCAAAACTATTTTAGTTCAAATGCTTCAGCATTGCTTCTGTGTGATACAAAGGAAATGAAAACAAGAAAAATACAGGAAGAAGCAAATGCCAAAAGGGACATGGTTTCTTTCTTTCTTTGCTAAGAAAGCATCACAAAACTGTACATTCCAGGCAAATGAAATCAACCAAAGAACTCTTTTTAAAAAATCAAATACCAAGAGTTTTTCCAGATGCCAAATATCACAGGTTTTTTTCAGAGTATTCCATATCAGATCAGTAAATGTCTAACAGGACAGGCCAAGTTATTTTTTTTTTTTTAACAACAGTGTACTTCTTGATCAGTAACCTGAAATGTCTTAAAATTGCATCATTCAATGAGGAACAAAGAGAATGTATGTCCAACTGTTTTCCATGTCTTAACAGTATGTGCCTTTGTAAAACTGTCACTGCACACATTTCTGGTGCATGCTTGATACATATTTTATTCTCTCTTTTTTAATTTTTGCAGTTCTTAACTTGTTTTTAAAACGGGAATAAGTGCAAGTGTGAGGGTTGATAGGAGTTTGTCAATGGATTTTAAAATGCTTTCCCCCCTAAATGCACAAAGGAAATGCAATATTGTGAGCAATACCCTCCAAGTGCCTTTAAAAATGATCTTCGTTAAGTATGTGGACATAATGTACATAGTTTTATTTTTATATGACTGAATGTGTTCTGAATCAAAATGAAATATTATCTATAGCAGTGTCTATAGGTACCTTGAAGAAAGTGTGAAGCCAAATATCTTTTATTGTTTTCTAGAAATAATTTTTGTACAATAAACATTTTGCAGTAAATAGCTGTGTAATTTGCCTACATAAGGTCAAGATGTGTGCTCTGATCCAAAGTCCTATTCTGTCTGTCTGTCTTTCTGTCTGTCCGTCCTTCTCATGCATACACACACGTGAAACTTGTGCTCACAATTGTCAGTGAGAAAGTCTGTCTGGGTTGGAGAGCTCAGTGTACAGACTGTAGTTCCCCATAACCAAGGCAATGGGTTCTACTCCGTATGGATCTCAACCATATGACCACAGAATCTTCTGAAAGGGCCTAAGGAAAAAAAATCAGCTGTGAAGTTAAAGGAAGCAGAATCAGTCCAGTAACTAGACAGGAAACTGTTTTAGACATTAGAGTTTGTTTCCCTGGGCTTCTTGGAACTCAAGCAGTAGAATACAAATGTAACAGGCCTCAGTAAATACTAACATTACTTGCTTGAAACTGTAACAAGCTAATGAAGAATACTTTGTAGAAAGCAACATGTAACTTTTTACTTACTTAGGAACAATACTTACTTTTTTACTTACTAAGAACCCAGATTGGCCTTTCTGGGGAAAGGCCTTCTGTGAAGAGAAGCCAGAGAGATCCAGTGAAAGATTCTCACTGGAGGAAAAGCAAAAACTTTTCTGATCATGCCTGCCCCTGCAGTTCCCTGCATTGCTACTTGTGATGCTCTTTAAAGGCCCCCCAAAAAGGAAGAATCTCAAAGATCACCTCCTTACCCTCTTCCTCCAGCATGAGCAGAACTCTGCGAGGCACTACTCTGAATCTAACCTATTGTGTGTAATGAAGGAGCATAAAAATGAATTCTAGACAGACCCAACAAAAAGTCAAAAGACATATCAAGCTAGTTTGATAGGTCCAAACAAGCACTAAGTATGCAACATGTCTAACACTGGCTGGTGTGTCAGAAACATGTCTAACACTGGCTGGCGTGCACACCTGCTTTCTATATCCTGTAAGGGTCCAGTAAGAATCTCCCCGACTGGACTGGGGCACAAACCGTGAGAGTAATTTGTTGCACATGAATTGTTGATTTATCATTAATAACCAATAACTCTTTTACACTTTGTTTTATCATCTATGCCTGTATTTTAAAAGTGTTCCAATCCATAAGCAGCACAATTTGGTCTTTTCTGACCTTTGTGAGCAACACTGATTTGCTATGTATTCCTATGAAAGGAGAATCCACCTGAAATCCAATAAGCAGGGGATGCCTGACAGGATGAGCCATTTCCCCACAAAGGAAGCTGCCGGAGCAACATGGCAGTGCAGTTAACACATGTGCATGTGTCCATAGGATTATGCAGTATGATTAGTCTGAATGCAGGGTCATTTTAAAGATTATTGATGCACTGCCTTACTGTAACTCTCATCTCTCATGCTTGATAGGAGAAATTTCATGGCCAAGCATTCTGAAAATCATGGCATGAATAATAATAACTCCCACTGTAGTGTCTGGTATTCCTAATTAAATCATCAGAATAATACTCTGTCATCCAGCCAAAATTTATTATTTTTAAATTGCACTGATTTCAATGGGAGAGATTTAAGACTGTGGAAGTCCTCTCATTGAAAATCAATTAGCACTAATTGTTTGGGGGGTGAGGGGTATCCTGGATTGCATCCTTGGCACTACCATATCATTATTTTCTTAAGTGCAGGAAGCTTTTCACATACAGAATTTCTCTGTAAGGCAAGCCAGAATGAATATCCTGCTATCTTACACAGAGAGCTAAACCAAAAGAAAGCAGCTTGTCTAAGACCCTGTTGAGCTAATGTCCTACTTCAGGCACTTAATCACTGGACTGCACCATTTGTACAACATTTGAGACTATGATAGAAGAACTAGCATCCTGTCACTCGCTGCACCGCTTTGGTGGATACAGGTGTTTGTGTTGCCGGAATGGCTGAGGTATCTCATAAAAGGCAAATGAACCAAGCTATTTCTGTTTATTCAATAAGATGTAATTTCATTACAGTCACATTTCTGGTCACATGGTGTTTGTAACGGAACTCTCAGCAAATGATCATGGCATCTTCATCTGTCATTACATTCATAAGTATGTACAAAAGGAAGATTGTCAGTAAAAATGAAGCAATATATAAAATTAGTTTCTTATCATTCTAAACAAATAGCATTTTGTTTAGCAGTCCAAGAGCTCTTTTTAAAGGGTACATGAACCAGTTTCATCCCATTGATTTCCATGGATCTGGAACAGCTTGACTGAAATGTCTGTGGATTTCACTTCTCATACATTTTATTTTCATAAATATAAAAATAAAATATACACATAATGATCTGCTACAATGAATGCTGCAATACCAAATAACCTCTTATACAGTATTTAGTGTTCCTTGGCAAATTCCTTCATGCAATTTAATTATGCTGCTGAACAACAAGAAGTTTCCCCAGCTGCCCATAAGTGCAGGTGATCTGTTTGTCCAATCCTTTTATAATGAGTAATGCATGATTTCAGTAAGGCTTGTCACCCATTGTAGAGCCAGTCATCCACAGTAAGTAAATGTGATTTCTTCTAATATTTTTTCTATTAAAGTATGCACTATGATTAACAAATTATTAAGTAGATGTTGATGCTCTTTTTGTTTTGAATGGTTTTTCAGATAGCCCAAAGTGTGTGTTTTACCCACCCAACAAGAATGAGGGAGAAGTAGAGCAACATATACCAGTTTATGCAAGAAGCAGATTTTAGAGATTGTAAAAAATATTTAAAAGATTGTATTTGATGTCTGAGATTCAGAATGATGGATATCTTTTATCAGGCTAACTTCTGGTCAGAGTAAGGAAGCTTTAGCATCGCATGGAACTCTTCATCAAGCAGGAAAGAAAAGAAGTAAATTCAGAACTATAAAAGCAACAGGTTTGGCTGCAGTTACCACTCTGTTCATTCAGTTTATCTAGCCTGGTTATGGGATGTGTGATCCAGGATTTGCTTTCAGCAAGAATAGACATTCTGAGAGAAGGTTTTGGACCTTCTATGACATTTCAGAGGCCTAGAAGAACCACTGTGTGGAAGCAAATAGGCAGCCATGTTGTTCACACTTAAATCTGAATCCAGCTCTATCTGACATGCATATATTGTTCACTTTTGGTTAATTTAAAAACAAAGGGTGAAACTGCTTTGCTGTTCTACAAGTGATTGCTGATCACTTTGAAGCCCTAGGGTTTTGAGACCTCATCTGTCTCTGTCAGCTCTCTCTTTCCATAGCAAAGTTTAAGCAGTTACCTGTGTGAAAGTTAAAGCTTTGACAGATGTTCAGTGGTGTATTATTCCCTTCTGCATTGGAAATGTTTTGGTTTACTCCAGATCATTTGATTCTGCAAAGGGAATTTCCAGTTTCATGCTCATGGACTACAAGCTTTTTCTTCCATAGTAAACAGGAAAAGCTAAGTGAGGGAGAGTACTGATGGGGAAACCTGAGAAAATTATTCACTCTCTAGCCTGGTTTTCATAATCACCAGAGCCCACTGTAGCTTATTTTAGCCACAGTAGTTCATGATGCATGTCACCAAACACCAACTATTCAAGCTGTAGGAGGCAATCAATGAGACTTATCATGACATGTGAACCTGACAAGGTGAGTTGAATGGGAAAGGTGTACCATATTCAGTCCATCTTTGCTCCTTTGGTCTTGAAAGTTCTACTTGTGATTGGTATACTTGTGGCTGGTACACTGGTCATCTGTTAAATGTGAATGCAGGAGGAAGAGGAGGCCCTACAAATATAGCATCAAATGAAAAACTAGCATCAGATGCAAAACTATATCTCATTATGGGCACAGGTGAAAAAGGTTTGCAAAGGTCCTTTAAGTCAAAAACATAGAAACATCTGTACTAAAACATCTTGCAAAACAATCCCCTCAAAACCCACTCAAGTGCATACATACATCACAGTGTCTTGTACTGCTTTTGTCAATCTTTTCTAAATTGCAACACCTTGTCTATAACTTCTCCTGATTAATGCACTATAAAGAATGAGATGTGCAACAAACTTCCATATTTGCTTCTCTGGGTTATGACAGTTCTCTGAAGCAATTTGTATAGATCAGAGCATATACACACAGTGTCTCTTAATAGGAAGCTGATGACTAAATGGGGTAGAGGGGAGCAAGTAGAAACAAAGGGAACTACTGTATAATAAGTCTATTTCCTGGTCTATTTATTTATTTAGGGACCATCTATGCTGCCCCATTCAGGGCAGCTCACTATCTAGCCTAGTATTGACTATCGTGACAGGCAGTAGTTTTCAGGCAGGAATCTTCTCAAGTCAAGCCTGGCATTGGCATACAGCATACTTGGAAAATTTGAAAGAACCCAGCAATGCCCCCACCAGGAGAGGCTCCCACAATCATTACTTGCATGGTCACGTACATTTCCCACAATGCTCAGATATAGGGCTATATTGGTGGCATTGTGGGAAATCAAAATGGCAGATGACCGCCACTGCCACCACTAGTTAAGACCACTGGGTGTCCTGCCTTAGCCCTATCTGGAGATGCTAGAACTTGAATCCACCACTGCTAACTGTGCTCCACCACTGCTTTACACCTTTCCCATTCATTCTAGGGTGAGTCAAAGATTATACTTCAGTTTTGTGAACAACTGTCATAATTTTCCACATGAGAGAATAAAGAAATGAAGAGGGCAAGAAAGAATTTGAAATGATCCATCCAATCAACCACATTTTTTGTGAGGTGGAGGAACAGAACTTTATGCAACACAGGTGTTCTACATATACAGATCCCAGTTCACACAATTATTCCTCTTGAAAGGGGGAATAATTCTAATATCGCTACCCTCTCTTTATTCTGAGAATTCCTAGTTAGTCTGACATTAAGATTTGCTTGTTTCCTGCAGTGGCATTGGGTTCACTTTGAGGAATTGGTTCAAGAATACTTGCAATGTAGTATCCTTCTCTGAGTACTAAACAGCCTGCTTAATTTGTGACTGGGGTGAGGGCAGGTTCATTAAACTTATTTCTGTGTACCAGTATGTGAACA